ACACGACGCTCTTCCGATCTCCCCAAAACCCCAAAACCCCGAGATACTGCTATTTTCTAATACACCATAAATAAAATTGAGATATTTTTGATCTAATTGATATTAATTAAGTCTACAAACTAAAACACCTCAATTAGTTTTCTTATCATTATTCTTCTCTTTAGATTTGGGATCTTCGCTTGGGGCATCTCCTAATTCTCCTTTTTCTCGAGCTAATCTCTACTGCTCATTAAGATAATTTTGGACGAGTGAGTTAATTATTGAGATGATAAAGTAGATAACCATGGCAATTACAAAGTATTCCCATAGTACCGCTACTAATGGTCTTGCTTCATCAATAGTCTTTTCAGAGAAGAGTGTCTTTTTCTACTTTTCAATAGCTACATTTAGCATGTCTTAAATCTTAGGGCTTATACCTTTTAATGCAGACATTATAACATCTACTTAATGTTGACTGAAACAGAATATAACAAAGAAACTCTACAAAGTAATTGTTGAAAAATGGTATTAAGTACTTGAATTGAAACTTTGACTATTGCTTTACCAATGAATGTCGCTCCGAAAAATACAGAGAATGGGACTAAGAAGTGACCACATAAAAAGCCAGCTAAGTCGAAAAGGGGATTTGGAACCTTAAATAAGTAAGCTAATTAAGAATAATATTACAGATGCTAGGACCAAAATAGCTATAAATGCATTTTTCTAGAGTGTCTTATAAATATAAACCTTCAACTTCTCAAGGAAACTTAACTTAGCTTGATCTTGATTCACTTCCTCAAGGATTTCATCAAATTCATCTGACTTTTTACCAGCAAGGCTCGCTAAAACTATTAGAAAATAGAAATATACCTGCTCTAGCGACGTAATATGGAGGTAGCTCTCCAATTGCAGTACCCAGTCCCCAAAGGAAAGCTTCAATTATTACAGCTTGATAAATGGATAATACTGCAATAGTAGGAGTTCCAGTGTAATCAGGGCATTGCTTGAAATGATGGAATGTCCATCTAGAAGGCAAACTCTCAGGCACATAATTGCAAGCATTAGAAGCCATTGTTACTTTGGCAATATGAGGTCCTAGATAAAGAACAAAGGTATGAAGGCCAGTTCCAAAACCTACTGAACTTGCAATACCTAAACCGACCCACCAAGCTGCAAAGAGCATAAAGTCTGTGAATGATTGACGATACTAAAGGCTATTAATGGTCTAAACATACTTATTCATGTGGACCTGGTGCCACGTAGAAGGCAGCTACTAATGACGCCAGTGATATAATTAAGAGTATATGCTTCACTATATATTTAAAAGTTGCTCTCAAACCTTCTGCAATTAAAAGTATCAGAACTTAAGTAATTAAAACTGGGTTTCTAAAAAGAGTGATGTGTGCATGGGGATTCTAATCTTTATCCTTTTTCTCATCTGTTTACTCAGGCTTCTATGATGTTTACTACTGTGTCTTAGGCTGCTACTGCTACTATACTTGTTATTTTTTACCCATTTTATATTAATTTAAATATTGATAAAATCTACAGTCACCTTCAGATTTAAAGATTGAAATCAGTGGGGTTTTGGGGTTTTGGGGTTTTGGGG